ATCAGCCTATTCTTTTATGCCACACTCAACTTTACTACGTGATAAGACAATTCTCAGGAATGCCAGTTTCCTCCCTAGGACACTCTATTACATAAATGTAAATGACTGAAGATAAAAATGTTACATTGCAAATTTCACAAATGGCATAATGGCCTATTCCAACAAGCCCACAGAACATAGCAAACAACACTGCATTTTCTTCAAAATGAAATCGTATCAAATAGCTTATACAGACATCTAATACATCCATAGCTCCCAAATTTCTCTTTCCAACATCCCACAAGATTTACCTCTCTTGTCTTCCAAACCAGTTCTAGTCAGCAGCATGGAGCCCTGCAGGACCCTCTGCTGAGGTCTAGTCACATGATGAGCACCGACCACATGCCAGATGCTGAATTAGGCTTTAGGGAGGAATAAGAGACACCATTCTGTTCCTTTAGGAGCTCAAAATTGAAAGCTCCTGACATTTCTGCTTGTGAGAGACAAGAGGACAAAAGAGGGTGGCAGCTCTCTGGTGAGAACATGTTTTTGCCATTTGTATAATGTGATGGGCGAGAAAGCAAACCAACTTAGCGGGGGGGGGGGGGGGGGGGGGGGGGGGGGGGGGGGGAGTCCCACAAAAGAATCACTGCTCTAGTTAACATAAGAGTAGTCTCATTCCCGCTGTGAATCAAATTAGTTTTTTTGTTTTGTTTTTTTTTGTTTTTTTTTTTTTGTTTTTTTTTTTTTTTTTTTTTTTTTTTTACCAAATTTACTGTTCATTAGCCTCTGGCCCCTAATGGGTGCTTAATAAATATGTATTGAATAAATAAATGAAAGAAAGAAGGCGGAAATACATCCTTGAGCCTTATGAGGACTCTGAGTAGAATGAGACAACTGGGGCCAGGGCAGTGTTTTCTGCCAAAACAAGCATGGAACTACAATTCTAGTCATTCTTCACAGATGCTGGCTATTGGAACGGAATGGTTACGCAACCATTATCCAGTGACTACACACGAGCCCAACCCAGGACCCACGGAGTCACAAGATGGTCAAATCAGGAGGACTTACTACTCAAAGGCAACATTTCTGACATATTGCAAAACTAAGCTGTAAGTATATTTTTGTTGGTGAAGATTCATTTATGATCATAATCAGAACTGACACTTGAGTGATAAGTGGGAATGTGGCCTTTTCCACCCCCCAATCTTCCCTTCAACATACTCAAGGCAGCCAGGGAGCCAAGGCAGGAGTTAGGAGGACAGGCGTCTGAGTATTCCAGACCTGGACTTGAATCTCAATTCCACCAGTTACTCTGCAACCTTAGGCACCATCACCAGCTCGGTCTAATGACCTGTGTGAAGGAGCTTAATAATACTCCCAGCATTACAGTTGTTATAAAGATTAAATGAGATAATACTGAAAAAGTCCTCTATAAAGTACCTGACATGTTTCAAATCACAGCACATTCTACCTAAGCCTTTGTTTTTTTCTTTAACATTCAACGTAATGGGGGAAAAACAGAGTTACCAAATGAGAGAAGGAAGCTGACTGTGTAAGCTGCAACTTTTGTCTTATAAAGAAATGGCCCCTCCTTAAAAAATGGTACAGTAATTATCTTTCCAAGAAGTTGTTAACTCTGCAATCTGAGTGACCTCGTGCCAATGCAGTTTGCTTTCGGAAACTACGGGACGGGACAAGATGGAAATTTTCCTTTAGTACAAAGCATATTCATTCATAGGTTGCCAAGAGTAATTCTTTTGCTAACTGGAGGAAGAAATGAATATATTTTAAAATTGCAGATCGACTTCTAAAATAGAAAAAAAAAATGAAGTGAGGAAGTTTTAAGATTTTTTTTTTGACTAGGTAAAAAAAAAAAATAACCAGAATTAAAATTCAGCTGACCTGTTAAAGGTTAATCTGTATACAGTGTTCCCTTTAGACAAAACAGGTGTTCATTTGCTGTGTTGAGCAAGATGTTTTAAAGAAGACAAAGACGAACTAGACTAAGTTGACCAGACGTCCCGCTTTTGGCGGGACACTCCCGATTTTTAACAATTTGTCCCGCGACGTTTTAAAAAAGTCCCGATCTTTGGAATCTTTCCAAAAATCCCCGCAGAACAAATTGTTAAAAATCAGGGCTGTCCCGCCTTAAACTAGACTCAAAAGGAGGTCCCTGCCCTCAAATATGGCAGGTATAGAATGATAATACAAAGCAGGCAATAGTTAGGGGAAGTGCTGTAGGAAGTGGGAGAAATTCTGACCAAGGGCTTGAGGAAGACTTCTACTAAGGGATGGCAGGCAGTTGAGCCACAGTTTGGAGGCAGAGTAGAATTCTAAGAAGGTATGGGGAATGGGGGCGGAGCCCTTTGGAGGAGGAGACATTTCCATTGCATGAAAGACCTTGAGTTAACATCACTAGCAGGGAAAAGGGGAGAAGAAAGCTTGGGGAGGTAACCGGTCTTGTGAAAGTTGAGAACTGGATATGCAAATTGAATGAACTATGTCCGGGAAATTATTTAAATATCTTTATACGCTTCCTTATGACAGTTCTTATCCACTGCAATCTTGATGAAAGACTAAGCAATTATTTTTGAGTCATAATTACACGGGGCAGTATGACTCGAATTCCTGGGAATCACCTTGTGACTGAAGCACTTATTCAGCAAATCTTTTATCTGCATTTTGCAGGGAGTGGTTTAACAAGCTCTTTCCTTATAAACCATCCCTGTCTTTCTTGACTTTGCACTGGATCTCTAAGTCCCTTATCTACCTCTGAAGAACTCTTTCCTAGTTCTCAGGAATCTGAAAACATTATTGATCCACTTTTACACATCACGCTATAAGCAGGATGGGTGTCTCCTGAATTTGCTTGCACCTTAGCTTATTATTTGAGATCAGAGCAACAGTAAACAGAAACTGACTTCTGAAGGTTCATGTTGTTCATGTCACATCCTGAACAGCTGATTGTGAGAATATGAAGTTGACGTCTTCCTTCCCCAGGAGAGCAAAAAGATGTCTCTTGGGCAACAGAATCTGAAGGACCAGGAACAAAGTGCAGTAGATAAAGATCGCTGGGCTACAGGGAAAGCAAGAGCGAGGAGTCCAAAGGAATATATGCAGTCAGGCTGGCTTCTAAAAAGCATTCATAGAAGGCAATGACTGTATAAACTTGCAAACAATCACCAAGTTTATTTAGCCCCCATGGTGCTTTATGAACTAGTTACCAACATTCTATAGGAAGATTACACTGCAAATTCCAGATGATGACCTTTTCTGAGAGACTCTGAAGATCTGGCCACACTGGGCTTGGGTTTCTGTTTGACAACCATAGGCTATCTTCTTGGCCTGGGTCTGCCCTCCAACCTTTACCTGCCTGGCCCCTGCAGGCATTCTGTGTGGGCAGTCCTTGAACATGGCTTCAAAACTCAACCCACAAATTACTCAGTAAGTGTGTCTTAATGATCTTTCTTCATTTTAAATACACAATGATGGCCCTGGCCAGTTAGCTCAATGGTTAGAGCGTTGTCCCACAGACCAAAAAGGTTAGGGTTCAGTTCCTGCCTAAGGGCACTACCGTGGTTGCAGGTTTGTCCCCCAGGGGCACATGCAGGAGGCAACCAATGAATGTGTTTCTCTCACATTGATGTTTCTCTCTCTCTCTCTCTCTCTCTCTCTCTCTCTCTCTCTCTCTCTCTCTCCCCCCCCCTCTCCCATTTTTCCCCTCTCTGGTGGTGATGTGGAAATCTATGGAAAAAACATCCTCAGATGAGGATTAAATACACAATTGACGATTGTATATTTTACATATTCATCAAGTCCAGTGAGGCAGACTTTCTTACTTATGATTCAGGGTTACCATATAAACATTTATGAAAATAAGACAAAGTGAAACCTGCCCTGTGTGATCAAAAGATAAACAATGTAAGAGACGGTAGAACTATGCCTTGGCACCACAAACTAGAGTAAGTCATGAAATAAGATTCAAACTACAATTGTACCGAAAGCTTTCCAGTGTAGACAGGAAAGGAGTATCAAAACGAAGGCACATGTGAAGGTTCTAGTCAGTGGTCAGCTAAACAGAAGTTTGGAACAACATATACACTGTATGCATATCATATAGTATACTAAAAAGGTGCATGAAAAAATGATTTGAAATAGTGAAGATGGAGCTAAATAATTAGTAAATATTTACATCAACTTGCCAGATAAGTCAAATGTCCATTGAAGTAAAATGTCCATTAACCAACAACCATTTATCTAAGTTACTTTAAAATTATCTTACTGAACTCAGGACTAGATCACTTTAAGAGCAAGATTCCTAGCGGAATGGTCACTTAAATAAAAAGAGAAACAGAATTTCCCTGTCACTTTCCTCTGGGAATCATGAAGTGTTTGTAACAGGCAAGTCTTTGATTGGTAAAGACAGAGTACTGGATTTTCCCCGAAAGTGTTCTGCGCCCCCCACCCCACCCCTGTAGCATTGTACCTTCTACAATTTCTGTGGGAGAAGATGACAACGCATCATTGCTAATACTATATTTATTTTGCTGCTCCAAAGGACTTTGTGCTAGGCTATCACAGCCGTGACACAGCTTTCCCCCCATCCAAGGACGTCCTGCGCCCCGCAGGCCAAATGCTCCGGGGAAGACCGCAGTAGCGGTCCATGTGACCACCTGTCCCTGGCTGCAAGCAGGCAGCTCCGCGCGGATGCTCAGCGATTCCTAGAACCCTTTGGAAGACTTTCCCCCATTAGGGAGTGACCCGGCTCCACCACCGGCGCCGGGGCTGCTCACATCGGCCACCAGCATCTCGAGTGGCCGAGGTCCCCCAAGTCCCCGTGGGATAGCTACAGCGTGGCGGGACCTGCTTAGGGGGCGGCCTTGGCCTCCTTCCCTTGCCCAAGAGGCCGGGAGCCCCGGGGACCGGGGGGAGACGCGGGATGGGCACGCTACAACCAAAGCCGGCATCCCGGGGATTCCCGCGCCGGCTAAGCTCCTTAAATGTCACCCCGGGCTCACCAAAAAGCGCGTCGAGCTGGTGCCCTGGTCCACTGCCCCAACCAACGGCCCCAAAACTGCTTTCTTCGCGGCTGCCATGAAACCAGCTTCGGGTCGGCAGGAGATCGCGACCGGTTTCCCGGGTGACGGCGGCCAGCGGAGGTGACGGCGGCCAGTAAAGGAGGCGCAGGAGCCGGTCTGGAGGGCGAGGCGGCGTGTGACCGCAAATTGATCGGCCGGGCAGCAGGCAGCCCCTTTAGGCGCGTGGAGCCCGCTCACCCCGCCCCTCCGGCCAGTGCCCGCCCCAACAGCTTTCCCGAGGACTCCGGAGGCGTGGCGGGAGTGGCGCTGTCTGCCGGGCCAGCCAATCAGCGAGCGCGGAGACCCTGAACGTCCGGAGAGAGGCTTCTGTGGCGTCACGGGGGCGGGGCCTGGGAACGGCGGGGGCGGTGGCCCGCGCGGTAGGTCACGTGGGGCCCCGGTGCCCAGAGCCAACCTGCGGCAGGGCTGGGGGTGGAGGCGGTGCCGCCCATTGGCAGGGAGGGCCACTGGCCCGAGGCAAGGGCACAACCCCACCCGCGCCCCGGGTGCCCTGGGTTTACTGCCTGCGGACGGGTCCCAAAGTGCAGAACTGCTTGTTCCTCCGAAGGGCCGTGCAGAGTTCGAAGTAAATCGCTCTTTGGACCGACCCGGCCTTCCCCATACCCCGCCCACCCTCTCCTCCGCTCCTCTCGGAAAATAATCATAATCTTCAGAAATGACCCTCAAGCAGTGTCACCTCCAGAAGCAAGGAGAATCCCTCACCTTGTAGGCTTTTCAGGGTCAAGAAGGCGGAAGTCCTTTCGGTTTAGCATTTAAAGGAAGCACTAGAAATTAACCTCCCTCGGTGGACAACCGGGCAGATGGCACCTCCCCGTCCTGAGATGCCCTTCCTGGTCGCTTGACCTCACTCACGTGTCCCCTCCCTCGCACACCATTTCCTCTTCCTCCCAAAGGGGCTTTCTCCTTTGACCTTGAATTTACCTTGCCAGGATCCTTCCCTGTCCCGTGTTTCAGGGGGGCTTTCAAACTTTGGACCAAGAGCCGCTGCAGGGAATGGTTTACAAAAACAGACCCAGGCATGTGTGTTCACAGTCATTTGTTGATAACGTGTATTACAGTTACATGTATAAAATACATTATATGTATTTTTATGTGGACAAGAAAGAAACTTATCTACCCTTCTAGGTTCTTTATGCTAGTCTAATAAACCCACATGAGACAGATTAACAAGAGAAAATAACCACATTTAATCACATATGTATTAATAGGAACCCCACATGAGCGAGTCAGAGACCTACATACATGAGAGTTTCAGAGACACAAAGGAAAAATTAGGTATATATGGCATGTTGAGCAAAGGATGAGGTGCTTGAGGCTCCAAAAGAGGGTAAACTTTGCCCTGCCCTATAGACAGATCATATGTTATATTTCTGATAGCTCAAAATGGTGAAGATCCCCAATTTGAATTCTTTAAGGGAGAGGTAAAAGTTTCTCCTGAACTGGCAGGGCCTCCATTGCCTTCAGCCAAAAATAATTCACATGCCACAAAAAGATAAATGCCATATGTTTTCACTTATATATGTGGAACCTAAAACACACACGCACACACACAAAGCCGAAACCGGTTTGGCTCAGTGGATAGAGTGTCGGCCTGCAGACTGAAGGGTCCCAGGTTTGATTCCGGTCAAGGACATGTACCTTGGTTGCGGGCACATCCCCAGTGGGGGTGTGCAAGAGGCAGCTGATTGATGTTTCTCTATCATGGATGTTTCTAACTCTCTAGCCCTCTCTCTTCCTCTCTGTAAAAAAATAATTTTAAAAACCCATATATTAAAAACAAACAAACAAAAAAACACAAATAAACAAAACAAAAACAGATTCATAGAAATAGATCATGCCAAAACCAGTTTAGCTCAGTGGTAAAGCCTCGGTCTGCGGATTGAAAGGTCCTGGGTTCGATTCCAGTCAAGGGCATGTACATTGGTTGTGGGCACATCCCCGGTAGGAGGTGTGCAAGAGGCAGCTGATCGATGTTTCTCTCAAATGGACATTTCTAGCTCTCTATCTCTCTCCCTTCCTCTCTGTAAATTATCAATTATATATATATATATATATATATATATATATATATATATATATATGAAATAGAGATCATGTTGATGGTTGCCAGAGGGGAGGGTGATGGTGGATGGAGATTGGGTGAAAAGGGTGAAGAGAAATGTAGTCAATAATATTGTGATAAATGTGCACAGTGACTAGACTTGGTGCGGTGATCATATTGTCCAATCACTATATTCTACACCTGAAACTAATATAATATTGTATACCAACTATGTTTAAATAAAATTAAAATTAAAAATCATGTACATGGCAACGTGGCATAACTTGAGGAAGACTGTTCTCAACCCCTTCATTTACATATATTGAAAAGATGTTTCCAAAATAATATTTATCCTTCTATGCTATGCATTCCACATTGTTTTATTCTATCACATAACATCTTTGTTTTTATTAAATTATCCCCCCTTTTTATTGCATAGAATTTTTTTTAAAAATGCTGGTTGAAAACCACTGAACTGATTTTGTAAATGACCATGCTCTCTATGAATTTCTAAAGCAATCTACTATTCCCACTTAATCTTGAAGTGTTCTGAAATATCAGTTCTGCCTTTTTCCCTTCTAGCTTTACTCTATGCTACCTCACTTGGCCATTTCTGTGTTTATAGTTTACTATGGGTGCTCTGCAAATAACTTTTCCTATAATCTGTTTAGAAATCGATGCTGAGCCGAAACCGGTTTGGCTCAGTGGATAGAGCATCGGCCTGCGGACTGAAGGCCGTATGTTTGTAGGTTGTGGGCACATCCCCAGTGGAGGGTGTGCAGGAGGCAGCTGATCGATGATTCTCTCACATCAATGTTTCCAACTCTCTATCCCTCTCTCTTCCTCTCTGTGAAAAATCAATAAAATATATTTTAAAAAAAGAAATCGATGCTGAACTTGATAACTACAGATAAGCTGGTTTGTGTTAGGACGGGAACGCAGATGAATCATTTTTCCCCTGAATTTCCTGGAAGAGGAAAAGACACAGGCATATATAAGGCAACTATAAAGGAACTAGGCTAGCATGCCTCTAAACACCGAGAAAGGCATTAATAGAATGCTATAGATAGATAAGGATTTCTGAGACTTCATCAGGCAGTGAAAAGAAAGCCACCAATTTTACCACATTGATTCATTTAAAAAAAATTCCTAGCCATGTTTGAACTTTCACATACTTTTGACTCTCAGATTCTAACAAGAGAGAAAATTATTTATTTGGCAGTAAAGTGGAATCAGAATTTAGACATTTCAGAGTAAGTAGAGCTATATGTACATGAGAGATGCTCAAATAGATTGATCTGATGGTCCCACAACAGTCTGAATTCCACATCTTCATTTCTTTCACACACACACACACACACACACACACACACACACACACACACACACAATGAAAGGCCAAAATATTGAGCTTTTGGGAGTCACACACACGTCTCAGCTTTCTTTTAGAGCTCAGGGAAGAGTCTTAAATAGAAGAGTCTAACTTAGCCTATCTCAACGCCACACTCTAAATATTTACTCTGACTCTCATAGACCTCTTTTCTCTCTTCCTTTTGGAACTATTCTCATTTGTCTGCTCTTTCTCATTCCTTCCTTCTACGACAGAACCGGGATTAGAATTTCAATCTCCTGACATCAAGCCTAGCACCCTTTTACAGCAGCTTGAGGGAACGGAAGGGACCTGAGGGGAATTAGGAAAGAACATGAATAAAAAGGAAGAAAGCAGGAAGCTGGTCCACCTTGATCTTTCCACCACCCACCTATGATCTGCAAAGCAGTGGAAGAAGCACTGGATTGGAAAGCTTAAGGACATTGATCTGATCTTGGCCCTGTCATTCAACACTTGCTCTTCCTGACCTTAAGTAACTAATTTCCTCCCGTGACTTCCTTTTGCTCATTTGTAAAATAGGGAAAATGTCACTGATGTACATGGGTAAATGTGAGGCAAGTGACGTAATGCCCGTGAAAGCATTCTGCAAACAGCATGGTTAATCGTGAGAGGCAAGATGCAGTCTCATTGGCATGTTTGTTATCACCAAAGAAACCCGGTGGTGAAGACCCGAGGTCTTTCATGCAAATGATTTAAGTAGTTTGAGGCATCTGAAGCTCAAGAAATCAATGTTAATCTTCATTTATTTATCCTCTGGCTTTTCCTGTTCTTTGTTAATTTACTAGTACACAGAATTTATATAAGCAAGAAAACTACATTTCCCTAGTGAATATTTAGATTTTTTTTTTTTTTTTGTCTGCTAAAGCTTCTTGGTCTTATATGTGCCTGACATATTTTTTCTAGTCTAGTCTCTTTGGAAAGTTAGCCTTTCCTTGATCTCTCCTTGCTATTCTAATGACAACTTAGCTATGGATTGATATGGATGTGAAAATCGTAACAAGCCCTAACCGGTTTGGCTCAGTGGATAGAGCATTGGACTGCAGACTGAAAGGTCCCGGATTCAATTCCAGTCAAGGGCATGTACATTGGTTGAGGGCACATCCCCAGTGGGGGGGTGCAGGAGGCAGCTGATCGATGTTTCTCTCTCATCGATGTTTCTAGCTCTCTATCTCTCACCCTTCCTCTCTGTAAAAAAAAAAAAAAAAAAAATCAATATTTAAAAAAAAGAAAAGAAAAACGTAACAAAAAGTTAGTGCTGGAAATAATTGCAATAAATATTATAGTACAGGCACTCCTTTATTTTATGGGATTGGGATGATTTTGGCAGATATAAGGGATTTTCCCAAGTTAGCAGAGGGGGCTAAAGAAAGATTAAAGAATTTAAATATACTTGATAAAAATAGTCAAATTGGGAGCCCCTCCCCCCAATGTAAACTGGAGAATCTACTCACATGTATGTTAAAAATCTCAGTGTAATGATCTAAAATTATGTGTCACTTTATATAATGTTGCACTTGTAATAGAGTTAGAATACAGCAATGATTCCAAAACTTTACCTACATCAGA